AATCCCGAAATCCCCAAAATTCGAAACGACCCCGGATTCGTGCTCATCTCCCAATGCTCAGAACAACCCCCTGGACCAAAAATAAAATAAAATAAATTAGGCTATTCTTTTCACTCGACTGGGTGACCCGGTCGTCGGATCTGCCCGGGCGACCGGCCGGTCCGGACCGGCCGGTCGTCAGAATCTTCCTAGCTTTCAGGTAAGGCACTTTTTTTTTTTTTTTTTTTTTTTTCAAATTCTTTGTTAGATAGCATATACCTGGGGTTGATGACTGTAGGGGAATGTATACTTGTGTTACGATCCTGGCCAATCTCGAAGTGCAAAATTCACGACAAAGCACAATGCCGTCCAATTGCAAAAGAAGTGAATGAACTTGAGAGGAAGGAGAGATGAAGAAGGAAGAAAGAAAGAAGAAGAAGAAGATGCACACCAGCAAAAGACCAATGACAATCTCCCCCTTTCTAACCAACCAACTCCTCCTTATTGCCTCCGCTCTTATTCAAACAATAAATAATAATAATAATAATGATGATGAAAGGCTAAACCAGAATCAAAGTCCAAATCCCTCTCCTACTGCTTGGCGTCAACAGAGGTCCACCATAGCCATGGCCTCCTTCCTCCTCTTCAACCAGGCCAGCACTATGGTACACTACTAAGGGCCTAGCCCTGCTGTGCAAAAGACAACGCAAAGCAGCTATGTCCACTGCTGCTCAGTCCGCCATGCCTGACTCTGCCTTGAAGCTTTCTTGGTGCAGCGCAACCCCAACTGGGGCCTTCCAGATGCAGCGCCTAACAAGGTGCTGAAGATGGCGTCCACCATAGCCAGGTAAGTACCTCACCAATCTCCTCCCTAGTCCCCTTCTTCGTCGTCCTCCTACTGGTAGAGCTCCATGATAGCCGAGATGGAAGCTCCCGGTCTTCTTCCTCCTCCCAGCGCTGTTCCTACCAGCGGTCCTCTTCCTTCAGCGCCCAGACGGCTAGCGCTTGCTCAAGCAGCATGTTGCCCAAACTTGCATACCGCAAATGAGGTACAGCCCAGCGCTCTACCCGAAGATATAGCGGCCTACCTGCCTCTTGGGCCGTGACTTCCAGGCCGCGCGGTCTCCAAGCAACCGGTACCTCCTCCCTTTCAGAGGGAAACATCATTGCAGGCCTACCTGCCTATTGGGCAGTGACTTCCAGGCCGCCCGGCCTCTAAGCAACCGGCACCTCTCATATCGTCCGCACAGGCCCTACACTCGGGCTACTTGGACTGGTACCCGCCTAGACCTAACCTACCAGCTACTAGGCCTAAAAAAATGCGAACTTTTGTCTTCTTCTGCTCGGCCTCCAGTCCCCAACATGTCCACCACTACTTGAGTGGTACCGGCCTACCTGCTACTGGAGTGTTTTCCCCCCGCTGCTCTAAGTGTTGCGGGCCTACTCCTGCTACTTGAGTGTTTCCCCGCTGCAACCCTCGAAGTCACAGCCACAGGTAAGTACCGGCCCCCTTGGGCCTTCGGAACAAACAAGTGCCCTGGCGGGCCACACACACACTTAGACCGACAAGCACTCAGACAGGCACACAACCAGCGAGCATGCACACACACAGACTTAGAAAACTCAGCAGAACGCAGGAATCTCAGCTAGGCATTCGTTCCAGCGGCAAGACTCAGAAATCAGCGGTGTTCTCAGTCTGTGGTTTGGCGGGTCATTACACCTGCTGCTTAAGCACTTCATGTGACATTTTTATGGGGACGATGACCTAATGAAGTGAATTTACGGTATTCATCGTCATCAAAGGCATGCAGAAAACAGCATTGAAGAATTGATGTGATGGCACGATCAGCACAGGGAGATTCTGTGTAGTGGGATCCCAGAAATCCCTCAGAGTTATCAGAAGTTCTTAAAAATGATAGTGAAAACAAGTGAAAGAATCACTCTATTCTGCAATGCTAACTTGCTTTTTTCCGATTCTTATCTTCATCTGGCTGCGCAGAATAAGTGCAGAAAAGAGAGAAGAAATTCTCAATCAGGCAGAGAAGGACCTGGAGATGATTCGGACACAACAAATATCAAGAGTTGCTTCTGAATTGCAAGGGGATGAGTATTGGAAGTTCCGCAGGGCATACTCTCCAGGGGTAAGGTA